TCATGTCGCTGGCAATCGTCACGCCGGTCTCCATCCAGGTTTTCGTAATGGGCTCCAACCCCTTTTCAATCCGCCTCTTGCACTCCTGCAGCCCGACGCCGCCGACGAAGTCACGCTTGGGAGAGACGTAGCTGCTTCCAGCGGCAGCAACGGCGCGCAGCATGTTGAGGAAGAGCGGGTGCTCGCACTGACGTTCCGCCGTGCGCGTCCCCGCGATGTAGAGGCAAATTGCCTCGTCGGCCGCACGCGTCGCCGTCTTCCCCCCCTCACCATACCAATCCTCCATCCGCCCCTTCTTAGCCTTCGGTCCCGCACCGCCTACGCCGCTCACTGCGTTGAGTGCCGCATCGGTCGCCCTCTCTTTTTCCTTGCGCGCCGCAATCTTGCTCTCCTTCCCGTCGCGAATGGAGTGGTGGAGAGGGGTTGGATTTCCAAATCAATTTTGCAAAAAGGGGAGGGGGTTAGGGGTGAATTAGATGGCTGGTTTTGGGGGTCGAATTTGCTTGGGGGGTGTCGAATTTTGGCGAAATTGACATTCGCGACGAAATCGCGAATGTCAGTTTCGCGATCGCGAAAAAAAAAAAATCTCGGTCTGCCCGAAAAATTTTCCAGGGTGCGTCCTGCGTCCGGACGCGCGTCCTGCGTCTTTGCGTCCGGACGCTGCGTCCGGACGCAGGACGCAGGGCTGCCCCAGCGTCTTTCTCCACATAGGCTGCTGGAAGCACTGCTGCAGCTGTGGCTGCTGCGGCTGGAGAAATTGTGGCTGCTGGTGCTGCTGGAAGCACTGTTGCCGCTGCGGCTGCTGTTGGGGAAACTGTGGTTGCTGCTGCTGCTGCTGGAAGCATTGCTGCCGCTGTGGTTGCTGCGGCTGGAGAAACAGTGGCGGCTGTGGCTGCTGCTGCTGAAGCTGCCGAAAACGCTGCAGCTGGGGAGGGGGGGAGAGGGTGAGTAGGTGGAGGTGAGCAGGGAGGAAGGAGGGTAGGGTTGAAATGTGCATGAGGGAGGGGCGAGGGGTAACACTGGTCCAGCGAGGAGGGGGGGGAGGGGCAGGGGGGTTAGCAGCCATGATGGGCGACGGCGGGTGGACCCGCGGCGGTCAAGGGTAAGGCGACGGCGGGTGGACCCGCGGCGGCCAAGGGGGGGTTGCTGCTGCTACTGCTGCTGCACTCCTCCTCCTGCTATTGCTGATGCTGCTGATGCTGCTGCTGCCGCTGCACTCCTCCCGCTGTTGCTGTTGCTGCCGCTGCACTCCTTCTGCCGCTGCCGCTGCTGCCGTTGCGCACCTCCTCTGCTGCTGCTGCTGCTGGTTCGGCTGCTGCTGCTGCTGAGGAGGGGGGGGGAGAGGGAGAGGAGGAGGGAGAAGGGGAAGGGAGGATGCAGCTGCTGCTGCTGCTGCTGCCGCGGCTGATGCTGCCGCTGCTGCCGCTGCTACCGCTGCTGCTGCTGCTGGTTCGGCTGCTGCTGCTGCTGAGGGGGGGGGGAGAGGGAGAGGAGGAGGGAGAGGGGGAAGGGGGGAGCGGGAGGAGGGATGAATGGCCCGTGGGAGGAGGAGGCGAGGGGGGAAGGGGGAGGAGGGCTGGATGGTCCGTAGGAGGAGAAAGCGAGGGTGAAGGGGGAGGAAAAGGGGGGGAGGGGGGGGCAGAAGCGTGGGGAAGATGCGAAACGCCCGTGGGAGCGGAACGGACGGGCGAGATGCCCCCGGGAGCACAAGTGACGGGCGAAATGCCCGCGGAAGCAGATTTGACGGGCGAAATGCCCGCGGGAGCAGATCTGACGGGCGAAATGCCCGCGGGAGCAGATCTCACGGGCGAAATGCCTGCGGGAGCAGATCTGACGGGCGAAATGCCTGCGGGAGCAGATCTAACGGGCGAAATTCCTGCGGGAGCAGAACTGACGGGCGAAATGCCCGCAGGAGCAGATCTGACGGGCGTGATTGGGGGCGGCGGCGGTGGTCTAGGCCACAGTGACTAAGTGGGGAAGGGTGGGCCCATGGAAAGAAAAAAAAAGCTGGAGTGCGGGAGAGGTAAGGCCGAGGAAAAATTAGCTCTATACCATGTGAAAGTTGTAAAGTGAACCATTAATTTGATTAGAGGAGGAACAAGCATACATAGGTTGGATGAAAAGCTTGGAGGAGAAAGGTTGGGTTGACCACACTTTGTGGGAAGTGAGGCAACCTCAGGCCCACTTGGGTTGGGTTGGCCTCACTTTTGAGAAGTGAGGCCAAGTGAGTTGCATTTGGGGGCTCCACCACAATTGGGTTGGATTGGCCTCACTTTTCGGAAGTGAGGCAACTTGAGGTTCCACCACAATTGGGTTGGATTGGCACCCCACAATACAAGACTACACCCAAAGTTGGGTGTAGTCCCAACTCACTGTACACCACAATTGGTGTACAGTCACAAGTGTTGGCATGCTAGAACATACAATTCTAACACTGCCCACTCTCACCTTGGCAGCAATGCTAGCAGCATTGCGCATCTGCTCACTCTCACCTTGGCAGCAATGCTAGCAGCATTGCGCATCTGCCCACTCTCGCCTTGGCAGCAATGCTAGCAGCATCGCGCATCTGCCCACTCTCACCTTGGCAGCAATGCTAGCAGCATTGCGCATCTGCCCACTCTCACCTTGGCAGCAATGCTAGCAGCATTGCGCATCTGCCCACTCTCACCTTGGCAGCAATGCTAGCAGCATCGCGCATCTGCCCACTCTCACCTTGGCAGCAATGCTAGCAGCATTGCGCATCTGCCCACCCTCACCTTGGCAGCAATGCTAGCAGCATTGCGCATCTGCCCACTCTCACCTTGGCAGCAATGCTAGCAGCATCGCGCATCTGCCCACTCTCACCTTGGCAGCAATGCTAGCAGCATCGCGCATCTGCCCACTCTCACCTTGGCAGCAATGCTAGCAGCATTGCGCATCTGCCCACTCTCACCTTGGCAGCAATGCTAGCAGCATTGCGCATCTGCCCACTCTCACCTTGGCAGCAATGCTAGCAGCATCGCGCATCTGCCCACTCTCACCTTGGCAGCAATGCTAGCAGCATTGCGCATCTGCCCACCCTCACCTTGGCACCAATGCTAGCAGCATTGCGCATCTGCTCACTCTCACCTTGGCAGCAATGCTAGCAGCATTGCGCATCTGCCCACTCTCACCTTGGCAGCAATGCTAGCAGCATTGCGCATCTGCCCACTCTCGCCTTGGCAGCAATGCTAGCAGCATCGCGCATCTGCCCACTCTCACCTTGGCAGCAATGCTGGCAGCATTGCGCATCTGCCCACTCTCACCTTGGCAGCAATGCTAGCAGCATCGCGCATCTGCCCACTCTCACCTTGGCAGCAATGCTAGCAGCATCGCGCATCTGCCCACTCTCACCTTGGCAGCAATGCTAGCAGCATTGCGCATCTGCCCACTCTCACCTTGGCAGCAATGCTAGCAGCATTGCGCATCTGCCCACTCTCACCTTGGCAGCAATGCTAGCAGCATCGCGCATCTGCCCACTCTCACCTTGGCAGCAATGCTAGCAGCATTGCGCATCTGCCCACCCTCACCTTGGCACCAATGCTAGCAGCATTGCGCATCTGCTCACTCTCACCTTGGCAGCAATGCTAGCAGCATTGCGCATCTGCCCACTCTCACCTTGGCAGCAATGCTAGCAGCATTGCGCATCTGCCCACTCTCGCCTTGGCAGCAATGCTAGCAGCATCGCGCATCTGCCCACTCTCACCTTGGCAGCAATGCTGGCAGCATTGCGCATCTGCCCACTCTCACCTTGGCAGCAATGCTAGCAGCATTGCGCATCTGCTCACTCTCACCTTGGCAGCAATGCTAGCAGCATTGCGCATCTGCCCACTCTCACCTTGGCAGCAATGCTAGCAGCATTGCGCATCTGCCCACTCTCGCCTTGGCAGCAATGCTAGCAGCATCGCGCATCTGCCCACTCTCACCTTGGCAGCAATGCTGGCAGCATTGCGCATCTGCCCACTCTCACCTTGGCAGCAATGCTAGCAGCATTGCGCATCTGCCCACTCTCACCTTGGCAGCAATGCTAGCAGCATTGCGCATCTGCCCACTCTCACCTTGGCAGCAATGCTAGCAGCATTGCGCATCTGCCCACTCTCGCCTTGGCAGCAATGCTAGCAGCATCGCGCATCTGCCCACTCTCACCTTGGCAGCAATGCTAGCAGCATTGCGCATCTGCCCACTCTCACCTTGGCAGCAATGCTAGCAGCATTGCGCATCTGCCCACCCTCACCTAGGCAGCAATGCTAGCAGCATTGCACATCTGCCCACCCTCACCTTGGCAGCAATGCTAGCAGCATTGCGCATCTGCCCACCCTCACCTTGGCAGCAATGCTAGCAGCATTGCGCATCTGCCCACTCTCGCCTTGGCAGAAATGCTAGCAGCATCGCGCATCTGCCCACTCTCACCTTGGCAGCAATGCTAGCAGCATTGCGCATCTGCCCACTCTCACCTTGGCAGCAATGCTAGCAGCATCGCGCATCTGCCCACTCTCACCTTGGCAGCAATGCTAGCAGCATCGCGCATCTGCCCACTCTCACCTTGGCAGCAATGCTAGCAGCATTGCGCATCTGCCCACTCTCACCTTGGCAGCAATGCTGGCAGCATTGCGCATCTGCTCACTCTCACCTTGGCAGCAATGCTGGCAGCATTGCGCATCTGCCCACTCTCGCCTTGGCAGCAATGCTAGCAGCATCGCGCATCTGCCCACTCTCACCTTGGCAGCAATGCTAGCAGCATTGCGCATCTGCCCACTCTCACCTTGGCAGCAATGCTAGCAGCATTGCGCATCTGCCCACTCTCACCTTGGCAGCAATGCTAGCAGCATTGCGAATCTGCCCACCCTCAACTTGGCAGCAATGCTAGCAGCATTGCGCATCTGCCCACTCTCACCTTGGCAGCAATGCTAGCAGCATTGCGAATCTGCCCACCCTCAACTTGGCAGCAATGCTAGCAGCATTGCACATCTGCCCACTCTCACCTTAGCAGCAATGCTGGCGGCGCTGACGATGGGGAAGAGGCTGTCAGCCTTCTTTGCCACGGTGAACTTTACGAGAGGGAAGCGCTGCTCAAGGCGCTCCTGGTGCTTCTGGGGGTCTCCTAGCGTGTCCACGTATGCCTGTGTGTGGGGGTGATCAGAATGGGGAGTGGGCGGGGTGGAAGAAGGGTGGGGTGGGGCTCATTGGGGCCCCTTGTGAACCGCATCCAGGGGAAGCGCTGCTGCAGGCACTCGTGGTGCTTCTGCGGGTCGCCTAGCGTATCCACGAAGGCCCATGGTGCGGGGGGGGGGATGAGAGTGGATGCGGGTTATTATCTCTCTTAGCCGCAGTGAACCACACGCAGGGAAAGCGCTGCTCCAGGAGCTCCTGTGTTAGAATTTATATATTATAGCATGCGAACACTTTTGACTATACACCAAGAGTGGTGTACAGTTGGGTTGGTTCAGGCTCTAGTTTTGGGTGCATTGCGGGTAGACACCCTAATTGGGGTGAACCCAAATATCCTAGCTTAGACTTGGCTCCAACCTTGTTGGCCAAATGGGGCAACCAACTTTGGTTGGTTGGCCACCACCCCACTAGGGTTGGTTGGATGGTCCTTCCTCCCACTAGCCTAGTTGGTCTTGGTGTCTTATGTGCTAGGTTTGGTGTTCTTCTCCAACCTTCTCTCCCTTGTATAATCTTGTGCTCTCTTGAGCTAATCTCAACAATTCTTCCTCAAGTTTCTATAGCTCCTAGTTTCTTTCATGGTATTCAGAGCCTAAGGCAAACGCCCTAGATCCTAGGCCTACTCAACCAAGTAACATTTCTGAACGTGAACTTTATTACACCTCTGCTAGAAGCAGCTTGTAGTGCGCCCTCCCACCTTCTCGTCGCGAAATCCCTGCCTGAAATCGCACGGCTCCTTTCACCCGTCACGTAATCTCCTCCTCCAGTGATTAGGAACGATTTCACCGTCGTGAAGTCCCTGCCAGCAGTCGCGCGGGTCCATTTCACCGTGGCGAAGTCCCTGCCAGCAGTCGTGCGGGTCAATTTCACCGTCGCGAAGTCCCTGCCAGCAGTCGCGCGGGTCGATTTCACTGTCGCGAAGTCCCTGCCAGCAGTCGCGCGGGTCAATTTCACCGTCGCGACGTCCCTGCCAGCAGTCACGCGGATCGTTTTAATCGTTGCGAATCCTCTGCTAGCGGTCGCATTGCTTCATTTGACCGTCATGGCACCTCTGCCAGCAGCTGCGGAGGCCCTTCTGCCCGACGCGTCACCCCTCCTCCCAGTCGCACGGGCCCCTCTAAGCGTCACGCCACCCCTGCCGCCAGCCACGCGAGCCTCCCTGCCCATCGTGCTACCTCTTCCAGCACCCACCTGAGCCCTGCAGAGCAACTGCGCGGCCCTCCCCGCATTTCACGCGGATCCCTACACAGCAGCAGCAGCAGGACTCAACAGCAGCAGCAGCAAGACTGGACAGCAGCAGCAGCGTGACTGGACAGCAGCAGCAGCGTGACTGGACAGCAGCAGCAGCAGCAGGACTCAACAGCAGCAGCAGCAGCACTGGACAGCAGCAGTGGCGTGATTGGGCAGCAGCAGCAGCGTGACTGGGCAGCAGCAGCAGCAGGACTGGACAGCAGCAGCAGCAGCGTGACTGGACAGCAGCAGCAGCGTGACTGGGCAGCAGCAGCAGCGTGACTGGGCAGCAGCAGCAGCGTGACTGGGCACCAGCAGCAGCATGACTGGGCAGCAGCAGCAGCGTGACTGGGCAGCAGCAGCAGCAGAGCTGAACGGTGGCAGCAGCACTCATGGCGACTGACTCCGTGCCTATTGAAACTGGCTCCATTGTTCGCCTGGAAGTCCAGGATGGCACTACTACACTGAATTGGCACCGTTTCTCACAGAGCCTCACCGGTGTCCTCCGCTCCACCATTATTGGCGGCGTCAACCTCCATTCCGTTGTCTTTGCTGAACCGGATGGCCTTGAGCCCAAGCCACCTCCCCTCCTTGGTCTTGAACCTCCTCCTCCACCACCCCATCCTGGCGAAGCACCTCGCCCGCCCGATCTCCCTCGCCTCGTTTCTGACAACACCACCAATGCCTCGCGCCTCGTTTCTGACAACACCACCAATGCCTCGCACCTCACCACCTACGCGGAGGAGGTAGCGACACACACGCGACTGGTGGATACCCACAAGGCAGCCCTTGCTGCTCACACCTCGGCTGCTGCCCTTCATGCGAAGTACGCTGCCGATAAGACGTCGTACACCTCCCAACTGACTGATTTCAATACTCGCCATGCCGCCTGGTGCATTGCCGACACTCGGGCTATTGGCCTCATCAACTCCTGCATCCCGACCTCGCTCCAGAGCGAGCTTGACGCCACTTCCTCTGCAGTTCTCTGGCGCGCCCTCTGTGATCTGTATGACCGTCGGGACATGGCATCTCTTCATGCCCTCTACCGTGACTTCAACGCTATCACCCTTGACAGCTGCACCGGCGCAGCTGACTATACCCGTCGCCTCAACAACACAGCTCGGCGTCTTCGGGAGCGTGGGGCCACTATTGACGACCCCCTCCTCATTTGGCGCATCCTCGAGGGACTCACCCCGGCTTATGAGATGCACCGCATCGCCTACGACATTGTTCTCTCTCCCCACGCCACGGCTGCCGAAGTCACCACATGGGTCCTTGATACTGAAGCCAAACTTACCCGCTAGTCCCCCTCCACCCTCAACTTCACACAGGGACGCGGAGGGCGTGGGGGGCGTGGTGGCAAGGGTCGTGGTGGAGGGAGTGGCGGGGGCGGTGGTGGTCGAGGTGCAGGGGCTGGCAGTGGCGCTACGGGTGGGACGTCGGGAGGTGACGGGGGTGCTGGTCGTGGTGGACGCTCAGGGGGTTTCCCTCCTTGCTCCTATGTCATTCGACAGGGCCCCAACAAGGGCCACTGCTGCAACCAAACCACCCATCCTGCTGAAAATTGCTTCAAGGCCCTCAGTGATGAGTGGTTTGCTCGGGGCAATACAGGTACCCCTCCTCGCTGGGCCACTGTTACCCCTCGCCCCACTGTTCATGACGTTCGAACACTTCCCGCCTATCAGCCACCACCTTCTGAGCACCACCAGACTCTGGCGAGTCACCTGCCTCCCCACCTCCTGCACCAGGTGCAAGTCTTTCTTCCCCCCCTTCCAGATCCACAGCCTCAGCAGCAGCAGCAGCTGCTGCAGCAGATGCACCCGGGGTTCCAAGGCCTTCCGCCTATGCAGCAGCAGTACCTGGGGCCACAGCATCACCCGGGATTCCTGGGTCCCCCCCTCCTCCCTTATCCTCCCCAGCCACAGCAGCCCCTTCTCCAGCAACAGCCATACTCTGGCTACCCCTCTGCCCACCTCAGTGTCTCTGACACCCAGGGAAATTTCCTTGGTCATGTTACCGTTGCACCGTCCGTCGCTTCCATGTATCCCTCTGCTATTAATGAGACGCTTTTCGAGTACACCGTGTCACCTCCCCCTCCTTCCTCCCCCACCTTGGACTTTGTCCTTGATAGTGGGGCCACAGAAACCGCACTGAAGGATGCTGGCACCCTCACTCCCCTTCCTCTTCCCACTCAGGTTCACAGTGCCGACACCAGTTTTTCCATCCCATGCACTCACCTCTCCACTCTACCTTGCTCCGCTTTCCCATTTGGTACAGTCACAGGTCTCCACATCCCCACCCTTCGCAACAACCTCCTCTCCCACCGTGAGATACAAGGCGCTCGTATTACCGCTATTTACCCTAGTAATGCCTCTTACTGTGATCTCTACAACACTGCTTCTGGTCGCTTCCTCCTACGCATTCCCCTTTGCCCTCGCACTCGCTTTTACACGCTCCGCACACCTCGTCCCTCCTTCTGTCAGATCACCACTCGTGCTGGCACTTCCACCGGCCCCCCTCCCCCTCCCCCTACCCCTCCCCCCCGGATATCCTCCTCCTCTACATCATCCCCCTCCTCCTCTAATCACCTCTCCCACCCTGCTGTGCTCTTGCATCACAATCTAGGCCACCCAAACTTCGCTGCACTTCGCACTGCCATCACATCCCGCCTCCTCGACAGCCTCCCCCCCACTCTTCCTCCCCTCCCTTCCTCTCCCGCACCCTCATGCCCATCCTGCATTCATGGCAAACTCAAACAGTCTCCCCATCACAGCCATCCCACTTTCGCAGCTGCTCCCCTTGACCTTGTTCACATGGAACTGTGGGGCCCTTATCCCATCCGCTCTCGCCAGGGGCACCGGTACATGCTCGTCCTCGTCGACGACCACAGTCGGTACTCTACTGTCTTCTTCCTTCACACGAAGGATCAAGTGACGGCTGTGGTCATTGCCTGGGCTGAGCAGTGCCGCACACACTTTAAACGCCCCATCAGCCGCCTTCACTCTGATGGTGGGGGTGAGTTCCTCAATCATACCCTCGCCACTTATTGCAAAACCAGCGGCATTCAGCAGACCCACACCCTCCCCCATTCCCCTCAGCAGAACGGCATCGCTGAGAGTCGCATTCGTGAGATCACCAAGATTGCTCGTTGTCATCTTGCTCACGCCTCCACCCCTCCTTCCCTCTGGAGTTATGCCCTCCTTCATGCAGCCCTCCTCCTTAATCTCCGCTCCCACCCTCAGCATTCCTCCTCCTCCCCCACAGAACTTTGGTCTAAGGTCAAGCCTGACGCTGCTGGCCTTCGCGTTTGGGGCTGCAAGGCGTTCGTCCTCATCCCTCCGGCTGATCGCTCCCGCGCTGCTGGCAAGCTCGCCTCGCGTGCCCTGGAGTGCGTCTACCTCGGGCACAATCGCGATTCCTCAGGCTACTTGTTCCTCCACTCTCCCTCCAGTCGCCTCATCCGCAGCATTGACGTCGTCTTCGACGAGTCCATTCCCTACTACTCCACTCCTCCTCCTGACCCTCTTCCCCCTCCCTCCCGCCCCCTGGCTTGGACTGATATCGTCCTCCCACCCCTCCTCCCTCCCGCACCCCTCCTTCCACCGGTCGCCGCTCCGCTCCCACCTTCCTCCTCTGCCGACATCTACGACCCTTCCGCACCCGCCTCTCCAGCGCATTCAGCTGCACCCCCTCTCCCCTCTCCCTCCTCCTCTCACTCTCCCCCTCAGCCGCAGGGGCAGCAGCCGCAGCAACAGCAGCAGCACCAAGGGCAGCAGGGGCAGCAGCGGCAGCGGCAGCAGCAGCAGCAGCAGCAGCAGTCGGGGCAGCAGCTGCAGCAGCAGCCAGTGCAGCAGCAGCAGCAGCAGCAGCAGCAGCCGGGCAGCAGCACCAGCAGCAGCAGCACCACCAGCAGCAGCAGCAGCGACGCGCAACTTCCCGCTCCTCCTCTTTCCTCCTCCCTCGCATGCACACCCGCTCCCTGGACAAACTCATTGGAGCCCCTCCCCCTGCCTCCATTCAGCTCCTCGAGGAATCCCATGAGGAGTTCCTCAACATTCGGCAACAAACACCTTTCCTTGCCTCCCTCTACCTTGACTTCCTCGTCTTTCCTGTCCTTGGCGCCACCTCCACTCCCACCATCTTCACTCCCACCACCTTCCAAGAGGCCATCACCTGCACTGACGCGGACAAATGGATAGCGGCGATCTTCCAGGAGTGTGAGGCATTCATTCGCAACGACTCCTTTGTCGATGTCCCCCTCCTAGCCGACGCCAACCTCGTCGAGGGCAAATGGGTCTTTCGGGTGAAGCAGCTGCCGGGTGAGGAGCCAGTCTACAAGGCACGCTACTGCGCCAAGGGTTACACGCAGACTTGGGCCGAAGATTACTGGTTCACCTTCGCCCCCACCGCCAAGCCGCCCACCCTTCGCACCCTCCTCGACATTGGTGCGCGGGACAACATGGAGATCTGCTCCATCGACGTCTCCAACGCGTTCCAACAAGGTGACCTGCACGAGCGCATTTTCTTTCGGCGGCCCCCTGGTTTCCACGCAGCCTTTCCTGAAAACACTGTGTGGCAGCTGCGTCGCCCTGTCTACGGTTTGAAACAGGCACCAAGGGAGTGGCATGTGAAGCTGTCTGCTACCTTGGGGTCCCTTTGCTTCTCTGCTTCGCACTCTGACGCCAGCCTCTTCATTCGCTCCTCCCCTCGCCGCTTCTTCATTCTGGTGTATGTGGACGACATGATCCTGCTTTCTGACTCCAAGGCTGACATGGAGCAGATGAAGCTGTCGCTGCAGCAGCGTCTCAAATGCAAGGACCTGGGCGACCTCACGCACTACCTGGGCATGGCCATCACGCGCAACCGCCCTGCTCGCACCATCACCCTCTCCCAGTCCCACTACATCGGCCAGGTCTTGGAGAAGTTCGAGATGGCGCAGGCCAAGCCCGTGTCCACCCCTCTACCTTTCGGTCACCAGCTCGTCCCACCCACCTCTCCCTCCTCCTACTCTCACCCTTATGCCGAGCTTGTTGGGTCGCTGATGTATGCCATGATGTGCACCCGTCCCGACCTTGCCTACCCCATCAGCGTGCTTGCGCGCTTCGTTGGCACCGGCCGCCACACCACCGAGCACTGGCAGGCCGCTAAGCAAGTCCTCCGCTATCTTCGCGGGACCAAGGACCATGTCCTCACCCTTGGCGGCCCCTCCCCTCCTCTCCTCTCGGGCTTCAGCGACTCCTCCTGGGCTGACTCGCAGCCGGACCGCCGCTCCTCTCAGGGCTATGGCTTCACCCTTGGCAGCGGCCTTGTCAGTTGGCGCTCCACGCGTTCTTCTGCCATTGCTCTCTCCTCGTGCGAGGCTGAGCTCTACGCTAGCACCATGGCCGCTCAGGAGTCCCGCTGGCTCTGCTATCTTCTTGCTGAGCCGGGCGCTCCTCAGCGCTGCCCCACCCTCTGGTGTGACTTATCCAGCACCATCCATCTCACCCAGGACCCTGTCTACCACGCCCGCTCCAAGCACATCGAGTTGCGCTATTCTTCATCCGCGAGCTCGTCTAGCACGGACTTCTTGCCGTTCGGAAAATTACGGCTGAGGCAAACTTGGCTGACATCTTCACCAAAGCTCTCTCTCACCCTGCACACTCTGCCTTGCTCCGCCTCCTTGGCCTTGCTCGTCCAGGCGCCCCCTGATTCAGGGGTTGTTCACTTCATGTGTTCGCATGCTAAGGGGTTGTGTTAGAATTTATATATTATAGCATGCGAACACTTCTGACTGTACACCAAGAGTGGTGTACAGTTGGGTTGGTTCAGGCTCTAGTTTTGGGTGTATTGCGGGTAGACACCCTAATTGGGGTGACCAAATATCTTAGCTTAGACTTGGCTCCAACCTTGTTGGCCAAATGGGGCAACCAACTTTGGTTGGTTGGCCACCACCCCACTAGGGTTGGTTGGATGGTCTTTCCTCCCACTAGCCTACTTGGTTTTGGTGTCTTATGTGCTAGGTTTGGTGTTCTTCTCCAACCTTCCTCCCTTGTATAATCTTGTGCTCTCTTGAGCTAATCTCAACAACTCTTCCTCAAGTTTCTATAGCTCCTAGTTTCTTTCATCCTGGTGCTTCTGCGGGTCACCTAGCGTGTCAACGAAAGGCCTGTGGTGGGGGGGGATGAGAGTGGATGGGGTTATCAGCCCTCTTCACCACAGTGATGCGCATGCGGGGGGAACCGTTGCTTGGGTGATGTCACCTTTTGGTTTGACTTGGTTTGACTTGGTTTGACCTGCTTTGACTTGGTTTGACTTGGTTTGACTCACCTCCACGATGTTGACTCCTTGGTCCAGCACGCGTTGAATGAGCTTTGCAGTCGACTCAAAGGCGATCGCGTTCAGACTTGTGCGCTCCCTGCCATGCCATGCCATTATATCATATGGCCATGCAAGACCACGCCATGCCATGTCATGCCATGAGAACGTACGGAAAAGGGTGTGATGCGACAAGTGAAGTCTTGAGCAGGCACACAGGCAAGCACTCTCATTGGCTGCCTGCATGGAACAGGATTATAAAATCGATGCAATGAGAGTGCTTTCAATAACCATAAAGTGGTGGCATCCATGGTTGCAGCAGGGGAGGAACCCCCCCAAAACACCTGAAGAGGCACCTGAACGCACCTGGAGAGCATCTGAGCGGAGAGGGCAGCCGCATTGATGACGTCAACCTCCCACCCGATCACACTCGCTTCCTCTGCTGCCCCTGCCCCCTCCCCTGCCCCTCCTGCTGCCGCTGCCACTGACACTCCCGCTGCCGCCGATGCACTGCCTGCCTGCTCTGCCTTCTCGCCGCCATCCCTGCCGGCCACAGAAACACCTTCTGCTTTGCTGCCATTCCCACCCTTCCCATTCCCATTCCCACCATCCACAATCACACTGCTTCCATCACCACCACTACCACCATTGTCTCTCCCACTAGGTGCAGCAGTTGCCGGCCCTCCCATAACTCGAAACAGCTGCTCTCGCCGCGCCTCTGTCAGGGTCTTGGAGTCTGGACAGGGAGGGGGTGAGGAGGGGAAGAAGAGTGCGGGAGAGAGGCAAACGGGACAGGAATGTTCACCAGCAGCAGCAGCAGTGTCTGCACATCCCTCCCATAACTCGGAACAGCTGCTCCCGCCGGGTCTCTGTCAGAGCCTTGGAGTCTGACAGAGAGAGGGGTGAGGGAAGGAGGGAGGCAAGGAGGAAGAGGCGGAAGGAGAGAGGGGCAAGAACGGGAGGGACGCAGACGGGACAGGCAGGCCGCAGGAGGGAGAGCGCAAGGGAGAGGCAGAAAGGGGAGGCAGAAGAGGGGAGGGCGTGAGTGCAGAGGCAAAGCTGCTTCTCAAGATTTCCACCAAATTCTACCAAATTCCCCCAGATTCTATCCAATTCTACCGAATTACACCAAATCCCACGAAAGCCCATCAAATTTCACCACATCCCAACCAGCTTCATTGTAACTCTACTGCCCTGCCTCTGGTCACCTCTCTCCCAATCTCCCCACTCACACCATTCATCACTCCCATGGCCCCACCAACACGCCCCAGTGCTCGCAGCACCCAGCAGCACCCACCAGCACCCACCAGCACCCACCAGCAAAGCCCATTCGCGCCACGCGCTGCTTGCTGCTGGCGGCGCAGTACGCACACGCTTACACCATGGGACCTGCATCCCGCAGCACCCAGCAGAACCCACCAACACCCAGCAGAACCCACCAACACCCAGCACCCAGCAGCACCAACACCCACCAACACTTACCAGCAAAGCCCATTCGCGCCACTCGCTCCTTGCTGCTCGCAGCACAGTGTGCAGACGCTCCCCTATCGCCTTCCTCTCTCCCACCAACACGCCCCTGTGATCGCAGCACCCAGCAGCAGCAGCACTTACCAGCAAAGCCCATTCGCGCCACTCGGTGCTTGGTGCTGGCGGCGCAGTACGCAACCGCGTACACCATGGGCCCTGCACGCCCAGCACGGGGGGGAGAGAGGGGAAGTGAAGAGAGGGGGGAGAGGGGGGTGAGGGGGGAGGAGAGCGCATGCTGGTGGCAACTTGGCAGCACAGTACGCACACACATACACCATGGGCCCTGCACGCCCAGCACAGGGGAGAGAGGGGCGAAGAGAGGAGGGAGAGGGGCCCCTTTGAGTCGACTCAGCTGTCACCTCCTTGCTGCTGGCAGCGCTCAAAGCCTCCAACTCAGAGGGGCCCTTTTGAGTCACCTCAGCTGTTACCTCCTTGCCGCATACACCATGGGGTCTGCGCTCACAGCACAGCAGGGAAGGAGGAAAAGAGAGGGGAAGTGGGGGGGCTTTGAGCGGACACATAGGCCACTTGCACGCGCACGCGTACACCAGTGTGCGAGTGGGGAGGAATGGGACGGGGCGATGCATTCCCGCGATTGGGGCAAGCATTCCCGCGGGCAAAGGTTAAAAACGGAGCATACTGCGACGGACAACGGGGCGAGGCATTACCGAGTACGGGGCCTCGGCCCGCCTCGTCGATCCCCATAATGCACGGCGCGGACCGCCACGCCATGACCGGGAGTAAAACGAGGAGAGCGCGGGGGATCGAACAAGCGCGAGGAAAGCGAGATAGCGCGAGAGGGAGGGAAAGCGAGCGCGAGAGGGAGGGAAAGCGAGCGCGAGGGGACAATGCGCGGAGGAGAGACGCGAGGTTGAAAGTTAGAATGGATGCGCGTGGTATGCGATTTCTTAGATGCCTTAAAAATGGAAACGAGGCGGAGGCGGAACGGGTGATCACGACAAGTCGGCTCGGCACGGATGGAGGTAGGCCGCAGCAGAGAAATGGAAGGAGAATGGAGCAGAAAGGGTGCGGAAAACGATGGAAAATGACAACTAGAGTGACGGCTGTGGGATTTGAACCTACGCCTCTTTCGAGATTGAAGCTTAAATCCAACGCCTTAGACCACTCGGCCAAACCGTCACGTCGGCCATCAATCTTGTTAAATTCCATAACTGTAGACGCGCTGACATTTTGCACCCTAACCGTTTATTCTACAAATTGGAAAAATCATCTGCTTTGCTACCATAGAATCTTAGTAGACATCCGCTCTGAACACTGGTAAACACGGGCGCCTTCCGCTAATGAAGAATTTCGCCTTGTGCGGCGTGTGCCGGCTGTCGCACGATCAGGGCCGACCGCACATCTACACCAAGCGACACACGACGGCGCTTGCGACGCTTCTCGATAAGGAGCTTCGTCGCATGACCGCCCTTGCGACGTGGCTCGAGTCGCACAGTCGGTCGCTGACGTCCACGCAAGAGCAAAGCGCGCCGATAGCGGCGGGGATAGCCGCGCAGGGCGGCGCGGACGAGAGGCGGAATGGTGCCTGCAGCCGCGAGGAGCGCCGCGATTGGCGGCCCGCCGGGTCTCTGTCAGGAACGCGCGGCGACGAGGGAACCGATAGAGCGAGTATTAATGGCGGCAGTGATGGCGGCGCGGGTGTCGCGTGCGAGGAGAGCCGGAAACGGAGCCGATGGTGCCGGTTTTGCGACGCTGACGTGGCAGAGGATAGCATGATCGGCGGATGGTGAGCAACTTCGCAGAAGTTTCGCCTCCCTCCTTCTTTCACTCCCGTCCCAGCCGTGACTGCTACCTCCTCCGCCGCCTTCCCCAGCTATTCCCATCCAAGCTCCCACAAAAAAACGTCAGCTGTTTCCCAGCTATAACGTGGCCTCTTCAGCCTATCATCGCAAGTGAGAAGTCTTGTGCTCTCGCTTTAACGCGTACGCGGGTTCGCACTCTCTCTCCCCCCCCGCCCGTGCCTGTTACGCGTGCTAGGATGCAGTGGGTGCGCCACGTCAGCAGCGGGGACCACATGACGTCAGTGAGGGCGTTTTGGGCGGCAAACTGCAGCGGCAGGGGCGTCGTGGCTGCTGATACGATTGCTCTCGCTGCCGCCCTCGCCGCCCGCCTTGCTGCTGCTGCTTCTGCCGCTGCTACGTCTGCTTCTGCTTCTGCTGCTTCTGCTGCTTCTGCTGCTTGTGCTGTTAATAGCGACGGTTCGACTGTGCCTACAGGGGGTGCTGCAGGGGATGTTACAGGGGACGCTGGCACCAAGCGACGAGCCAAGAAGCAAAGAGGGAGCAACCAAGGAGGTTTAGAGATTAAAGAGACCAAAGATACCTGGCGGGCATTCGTGCTGCCCCCTGCCGTCGCCACTGCCACCGCCGCTGCTGCTGCTGCTGCTGCTCTGTCGTCTCCTTCTTCCCTTGCTGCTCCCCCGCTCTCCTCAATAACCCCATCGAATCAACCCCCCTGCCCGCCCCTCACTCCCCTCCCACACACTAGAAGCCCCTACCCTCCCACCCCCACCACTACCACTTCCAAACCCATCATCACAACACCGAACCCATCTGCACCGCTGCTAAACCCCTTAACACCCCCTGAGGGCCTCTTCCTGGTCCCAGACTCCTTCTGCCCCATCCTCTGCCCGCCAATCACCAACGCCAAAATCTGGAAGTTTCGGGCGCAGCGCGTTGGGGCAGCCTGGGCAGAGCAGCGCCGGGCTGAAATAAAAGCGGCGGAAGCGGCTCGGAGTGTGGCCGCTGCCGCTGCTGCTGCGCTGCGGTTTGCCCCTGCTGGCCCTCCGACTACGGGCAGGGGCCCTGAGGTCATAACATCATCTTCAACAGGTTTAGCTGAAGCTTCTGCTGCTGCTCCCACTGCTGCTGCTGCTGCTGCTGCTGCTGCTGCTGCTGCTGCTGCTGCTGCTGCTGCTGCTGCTGCTGCTGCTGCTGCTGCTGCTGCTGCTTCTGCTAGTGTGGTTGGTGAGCGCAGTGAGATCGACCTATCGAACGTGTCCATGTGGCTTCCAAGCTTTGGGCGAGTGTGGCAGAGCGGCCCTAGGCAGGCCAGCAGGAGGGAGTTTGATGCAGAGAGACGAGCGCAGAGGGGCAGAGGCCGGCAGGAGAGGCAGCACAGGGGAGGGGAGGAGAGGAGGGGAGGAGGGCAGGAGAGGCAGCACAGGGGAGGGGAGGAGAGGAGGGGAGGAGGGCAGGAGAGACAGCACAGGGGAGGGGAAGAAAATTGGCACAAACAACGTGAAGAGCAGCAGCACGAGGGAGCGAGGGGAGGAGGGGAGGAGGATGAAAAAAAGGAGGCTAAGACCTGGGCTGAGCGGTCTGTAGGGACTGGAGGAGCAGTGGTCCAACTGATGATGCCACATGCTGATCACCCCTTGCCGCCACAGCCCTCTGAGAGGCATGATTTACCTTCAGGGCCTGTTGCTTCAGCAAGGGAGGTGGTGGCTCTAGCGGGCTCTAATGATGCAGCTTCTGCCTTGCAAGCTTCTGGCTTGCAAGCTTCTGACTTGCAAGCTTCTGGCTTGCAAGCTTCTGACTTGCAAGCTTCTGACTTGCAAGCTTCTGACTTGCAAGCTTCTGACTTGCAAGCTTCTGACTTGCAAGCTTCTGACTTGCAAGCTTCTGATCTGCACGCTTCTGAGCTGAGGCCGTACGTTCCAAAGCGCCTCAGGCGATGAGATTAGTGCATACCGTGTCCTTCCAAACAAAGCATCTGATCCTGAGGGCTCTAATAAGCAGCTTCTGCCTTGCAAGTTTTTGAGCTAAGTACGTTCCAAAGCACCTCAGGCGACGAGAGTAGTGCATACTGTGTCCTTCCAAACAAAGTATTCGAGGGTGTTGTATGGTGTTGGGCTGAAAAAGTCATTCGGATCGTTTCAAGACTAAACTCTCAGAGTGATGATGTATTTACTGTATCACCCCAAATAGAAGTGCAGGTGCGCTTATAATAAAACAATGTTTTTTAGGGGGGTGCGCTTCTAATTGAGTCATTTTTATAAGCGCATGCGTTTATATAATGACATATACGAGTTTATAAATTTAAGACACCAATTGTCAGAATTTTATAATCAGGGCCTCAGATTCGTTTTGGCCTAGGCTGAATCGTCAGCCTTAGGAGTGAGCTGAAGGCTGGTCAATCAGGGTAGCCTTGAAAAAAAAAGCTGAAATTTCAGTGTTTAGTTTAGTTAAATGGCTGATCATTCAGCCTTGCTTAAAAAGAAAGGCTGAACATAACTTCAAGCTTTCCTATATCGCAACACAGTCATTCAACTTCAAAGTGTGGCATTGAGAAAAGGGCATGCGACGTGCTTCCAACAGTGCACATGACGTGCCTACAACTTCATACACGAAGATACCTTCTGTTGGCGACAACAGTGCGCGCGGCATGGTGAATCCGAGCGAATCTCCTGTGATTGGGCGAATTTCCTTTAAAACATGCTGTGTCAGAGCGAATTTCTTGTGATTGGGCGAATTTGTTGTGCTCTGACGGGGCGATTATCTTCTCTGTTGGGGCAAATTTGCTGTCTCAGGGCGAATTTGCTGAGTCAGGGCGAATCTGCAGTGACGAGTCAAGTAGAAACACTTGCATCCAGAAACCAGAAACTAGATTGTACATTCGTGCCATTTGATTGGTCAGGCAAGTTTTGGTAAAATATCCGATACGTCAGAGGGTTTCGGCACTACACGAATCTCCACTAGTGGGATTTCAGCCTACATCCCCGTTACAACGCGGATCTGCCAGTTTACACCTCTAAAAAAACTCTGAAATATCAGCCCATACTAAGAAAAAAAGTCTGAAAAATCAGCCCATTCAATACAAAAAAAGCTGACAAATCAGCCCCACTAAATCCCTAGCACTTAAAACCTTACCTTTTTACCCCTAATCAGCCTTTTTTCGCCGACTTCTGAGGCCCTGGTTATAATGCTTACAGTTGTGTAGGCTATAGTGGGGTATCCCATAAGGGGTACAACCCAATTAGGGTTAACACTTGTACCCAACTCTTTGTTAGTTCATTCATTCTCGTTCATTCTTCTGACATGGTTTAAGAGCATGTCCTCCGCTACGACTGTTTTTTTTCCTTGGGCCCACCAATGCGCTGCCCCACTAGCCGCTGTTGGAAACAAGTAACCTAAACGCTTCTGAAGTATCGAAGTATCGACACAAAACGAAGCAGACTACAGTGAAACAACACGAGTCAACAAAAGCAACCGCTGGAGGTTACGCGAAGGACAAAAGGTCGCTGACCTTTGACTCGACGAAAAATACAGTGCGACAGCAAGGACACATAACTGACTCGATACTGAGCAGTTACGCGAGTCGGCACTGTATCGAACCGCAACAGCAAAAACAGTTAAAACATAACTTTTCACATTCCTTTGTAATCATATAGAAGCCTTGTATTTCTTTGCCATTATCAACTTATCTTGTTCTCACAAACTAGTACAAGGTGGTTCAGCAACTCTGATATTAAACGCTTCCGCAACTACAACATTTCTACTTCAACCACAGATCTTAGCCTTAAAAGATCCTAAGGGCTTTTCTCAGCCCAACATGGTATGAGAGCAAACAGGGTGTCAGAATGTATTTGCTGTCTAGCCTGCAGTGGGGTACTCTGTAGTGAGTACAACCCAATTTAGGGTTTGCTATTTTTATCCCAACTTGCTATAGTGAAACCATTCCTCATTCTCAATCTTATCGACTTTTCTCTCAACACTCATGTCTAGCCACTCAAGCCATGGCTCCTCACCCTAAGTTACTCCAGCTTCTTAACATGGTATTAAGAGTTGTTACGACCTCTTTGGGCCCACCACCTGTTGCCCTACGCGCCACCCTCGTGTGGCCCTTTTCTCGACATTAGGCTCGTGCCCGTCGCCCCTAGGCCCCGGCCCCGTCGCCCCTAGGCCCGTCGCCCCTCGGCCCCGTCGCCCCTAGGCCCCGGTCCCGGCCCGTCGCCCGTCGCGCGTCGCCCCTAGGCTCCGGCCCCCGGCCCCGTCTCTTGCCCGCGCCCGGCCCGTACCTAGCTCGCGACCGGCCCGTACCTCGCCCGCGCCGGGCCCCATCTCTCGCCCGCGCCCGGCTCCGTACCTAGCCCGCGCCCGGCCCGTACCTAGCCCGCGACCGGCCCGTACCTAGCCCGTGCCCGGCCCGTCCCTAGCCCGCGACCGGCCCGTTCTCTCGCCCGCGCCCGGCCTCGTACCTAGCCCGCAACTGGCACGTACCTAGCCCGCGCCCGGCCCCGTCTGTCGCCCGCACCTGGCCCCGTACCTAGCCCGCGCCCGGCCCGTATCACGCCCGCGCCCGGCCCCGTACTTAGCCCGCGCCCCGGCCCCGTACCTGCCCAGCGCCCGGCCCCGTACCTAGCCCCGCGCCCGGCCCCGTACCTAGCCCGCGCCCGGCCCAGTGCCTAGCCCGCGCCGGGCCCCGTTTCGCGCCCAGCGCCCGGCCCCGTACCTGCCCAGCGCCCGGCCCCATACCTGCCCAGCACCCGGCCCCGTCTCTAGCCCCGCGCCCAGCCCCGTTCCGCGCCCATCGCCTGGCCCCGTCCCTAGCCCAGCGCCCGGCCCCGTACCTAGCCCGCGCCCGGCCCTGTACCTAGCCAGCACCCGGCCCAGTTCCTAGCCCGCGCCCAGCCCCGTACCTGCCCGTGCCCGGCCACGTACCTAGACCCGCGCACGGCCCCGTACCTAGCCCGCGCCCGGCCCTGTACCTAGCCCGCGCCTGGCCCCGTACCTAGCCCACCCCCGGCCCAGTACCTAGCCCGCGCCCGGCCCCGTACCTAGCCTCGCGCCCGGCCCCGTTCCGCGCCCAACGCCCGGCCCCGTACCTGCCCAGCTCCCGGCCCCGTCCCTAGCCCAGCGCCCGGCCCCATACCTAGCCGCGCCCCTCGGCCCCATTGGCCTCGTCGCCCCTAACTATGGCCCCTCGCAACCTGCAGCCCCTAACCGCGGCCCCGTCGCCTCTAGCCTCGGCCCCTCGCAACCCGTCGCCCCTAGCCGCGGCCTCGGTGCCTTGTTGCATCATGAAGGGTAAGGGGGTGGCAAGAGGGGGTTCTTCCTGCCCGTGTGCCCTGCAGTCGCACGCGCAGCTCCGCCCCCGCCCCCCTCCCCCCCCTCCCCCCCCTCCATGGGGACGGGGGGGAGAGGGTGTGAGGGGGTGGCGAATGTGCCTCAGAAACAGCAGCTGCCGCCGCGCCTCCTCCTCTCTCTCTCCCTGCCGCACCTTGTGTTGGGAGAGGGGGGGGAGCTTGGAAGTTCAGGGGGAGGCAGGAGGGGATCTGCAGCACCAGCCCCCCCCGCCCCCCCTTTCTCCTCCATCCCTGGGGGGTGAAGGATTGTGGAGCGGCAGTGGGGGGGAGGGGATCTGCAGCACCAGCCCCCCCCCCCCGCCCCCCCCCCCCCCCCCCCTTCTCCTACCTCCCCCTGCTGCGAGTGCAGCAGTGGGGGGGAGGGGATCTGCAGCACCAGCCCCCCCCCCGCCCCCCCCCCCTTCTCCTCCATCCCCTGCTGCAGGTGCAGCAGTGGGGGGAGGGTATGGGGGTGGCGGGTGTGTGAACCGTCCCCTGCTCCTCCTCCTCCTCCGTCTCCCACTGCTGCAGCTGCCGCTGAGGGGGGTGGGTGTGTGGGAGCTGAGGGAGTGGTGCTAGGGGGGTGACGCGGGAGTGGAGCTAGGGGTGCAGCAAGGGGTGTGTGAAAGGGGGGTGGGACAGTTGGGGGAGGTTGAGCGGAGGCTGCCGTCTTGTCGTCCGCAGCACCTATAGTCCGGGGCTCTGCTGCTGGTAGCTCAGAGAGCCTGCTGCGCCTGTCGCCCGTGGGTCCGTTGCTCCTGCCGCTCAGAGTTAGCCGCAGAGCCAATTACTCCTGTAGTCCGGGGCCCTTGCTTTGGTAGCCACCGTGAGCGCCGCTCCTGTTGCCCGTGTGTCTGCAGCATCAGCCGTCGCCTCCTATCTCCTCTCCTCTCACAGTCCAGCCTCCTCCTCCTCACTTGCCCTTTGTGAATGCCTCTAGCTTTGCTTGTACTGGTGAACCTGCTCTATGACTGCTTGCTCTGCTGATTATACCCCACTTTGACTATGGGGGTGTGTTAGAATGTATTTGCTGTCTAGCCTGCAGTGGGGTACTCTGTAGTGAGTACAACCCAATTTAGGGTTTGCTATTTGTATCCCAACTTGCTATAGTGAAACCATTCCTCATTCTCATTCTTCTCGACTTTTCTCTCGACACTCATGTCTAGCCACTCAAGCCATGGCTCCTCACCCTAAGTTACTCTAGCTTCTTAACACAGGGCAAGATCGATTTCTCAAATTCCTACGACAATGCAAGACATGGCAACACAGAAAGAGAGGAGCTCCTCCAACGGATCTCTCGGCACTACTCCTACTCCACCTCCAGCCTCTGGCCTACAGACAGAGGAAGGCACAGCAACAAGACCAGCTTCAGAGTCGACTGAAACTCCCGGGAATCAAGCAACAGGCCTCGACCCAAACATGATGGAGAAGTTCTTCTCCTTCATGTCCTTCTACGAGCAACAGCAGCAAGCAGCTCCTGCGCAATCAAACAACAGCGACAACAACAACAGAGGAACACCGATGAGCCTTGACGGTTCATCCTATGCGCGCGGATATCAGCAGCAACCCACCTTTGCTCCGTACGAGCCTCAACGTGGCTCTATCAGTTTCGC